CCTCTGGTCTGATGGAGTGAAATGCCACCACAGATTATCCCGCACCCGAAAGGCTTTTTCAGTCCTCAAATATATCTGTTTGTTGTTGTTGTTTAGTTTTTGATACAGAGTCTTACTCTGTCGCCCAGGCTGGAGTGATGTGGTAAGATCTCGTCTCCCTGCAACCTCTGCCTCCTGGGTTCAAGCAATTCTCATGCCTCAGGCTCCCAAGAAGTTGAGATTACAGGCACACTCCACAAAGCCTGGCTAATGTCTTTGTATTTTTAGTAGACATGGGGTTGCACCATGTTGGCCAGGCTGGTCTCGAGCTCCTGGCCTCAAGAAATCCACCTGCCTCTGCCTCCCAAAGTGCTCTTATTACAGGTGTGAGCTACCGTGCCCAGCCCAAATATACCTTTTAAAGCATAATACACTAACCCCAAATTGAACTAATCACTTAACTTCATTTTAACAAACTCCTAGAAATCTCAGTTTAAATGCATTTTTATGTTGAAGGCTTCCCTATTACCTCCCAGTGAACTTTGTAGTCTTTCTCTATGGAGTTAGCAGGAACTATGTATAATTTTGCTTCTGTATTTTGTCTTGCTTTAACGAAACCATCTATTTACAATAAGTCAATCTCTCTGCAATCAGCATTTTGGTAAAGAAGAAGTCAAAGTTAATATTTATCAAGAAATAAGATTTGATATGTTGCAGTTCTCTGGGTAATCGTTGTTGATTCCAGTTGTCTTGGAACAATTATTGACAGTGTCTCCTCTCATTCTCAGAAGTGCAACCTGGGAGGCAGAGGTTGCAGTGAGATGAGATTGTGCCAGCAAGGGTGCAATAGAGCAAGACTCTGTTTCAAAAAGAAAAAAAAAAAACAAAAGAAGTGCACAGCTCAATGCTAAGACAGGCATAAGACTTCTCTTCCGAGACTGACCATTTTCCCCTGCTCATGGCCTCAGCTGAATTCTGCGTGTGCTTCTCAAGAAGTGAAGCCCTTGGCTTAGCAGGGCAAACCCACTCGTGCAGCCCTTGTGCAGTAGGAAGGATTTTTCCCTGGAATTCCGTTTCCACAGGAAGAGTGTCCCTGTGGTATCTCCCTGTGGAAAGGGGATTCCAGAGAAAAATTTGCTGGTCTGCAATGGGCATGAGGTTAGGAGACATACTTTCCCCAGAGTCACACTGTGCCAAAGCAACAGAGCAAAATGAAGCAACGCACCTGCCACCACGAGGTGCAGGATGGCCTCATCGTAGGACCTGCCTTCTTGGAAGTAACAGCGGTAGGTGCCGTTCTCCTGAGCTGTGATGTTGTGTATGACCAGGGCCACGCTGCCCCTGCTGATGTCTTTGCTCACAAAGGTGGTTCTTCCTCGGTACTCCTCCATCTGCTCCTCTGTCCTCTCTCTCCCACCCTTATACACAAACACTGCGGGGAAGAACTGAGACCGGAACCACCGCACCTCCATGTCCTCAGCATTTTTCTCGGGTGACAGATGGCAGCGTAACGTAGTGTCTTCTCCAACCGTGGCCAGGATGGAATCAGTTGGCCCTACCACAATAAACTGGGCTGTTCAACAAAGCGGTAGAGTCAGACAAAGACACCAGCCATCACATCTCTAAGGCAAGAAAGGAAGCAGATACTCCAGGGATAAACATATTTTTTCCATGGCCATATGGTCTCTTTGGGCTGAGAAATCTGGGGACCAGTAGCTGTGGGTGTCAACAGCACTCCTGGGAGCAGTAACTATAAAATGTGCTTCTGCTTCATGAAGGAAACCCTGGGGAGCCCGCCCTGAGCACCCTCTGTCCACCCTGTGCCCTTGAGGGGTTTTTCCTCCATTCCCCAATCTAGCGCTGTGCCTGAGAGTAGTGTAAACTTGAGCTGTGCAATAGAGCACCTACCCACTAGCTAGTTCCAACTGAAATGAGCTCTAAGTATAAAATATACACAGGATTGTGAAGATTTAAAATTTCAGAATATTGGCTATCTTATTGGTAATATGGTGTATTAACTAAGTATTTAAATACTCATATTTGATTATTTGGGGCGAAACAAAACATAGTATACAGATTTATTTCATGTTTCTTTTTACTTTTTAAAATAAAAAGTAAAATTTAATTCTTTTTTGAAAATTTGCAACTGTACATGCACTTGGCCTTTGTGCCTCGCTGTGTTTCTTTTGGACAGTGCTGGTATAAATTCAGTGAACATGATCAGAATGAAAGGATAAGTCAGCAACTCCACAATCCTTTCTTTCTTTCCCTTTGCAGACTACAGGGTTGATGTTCCTTTCTGATAGGTAACAGCAGCAAGTGGGACACATCCCTACCTGAGACCAGTGCACACAGTCGGAGAAGGAGGAGGAGGAGGAGGGAGGCTGGCAGGGAGAAGTGTAGGGCAGCAGCTGGTTCCATGAGCACCCAGAGCAGGCAGGGACGGGAGGCCTAGGGTTACAGAGGAGAATCAGCCTAGGAGTCTTGGCACCTCAGTGCTGGTCGGGCTCAACCTCTCCCGTTACTCAAGTAGGTCTCATCAGTGCCCCAACTTCATGGAGTTCCCTGCATCCGAAGGCTCAGGTATCTCCCGAGAGAGGGATTCCTTAAACATTCCATGAAGTAAGCCATCAATGCAAAGATCAATGGGCCCTTTTCCGCCCTCCTCGGCTCACTTCTCTGGCCAGAGCCCGGTTTCTTCAGTTGTCGCTGGATTTGATCACACCCTCCTCCCTTCACTTCCCCCTCCCAGAGACCCAGGCCGGGCAGCCTGAGGTAAAGCCAGGCGAGGCCGCGACCCCCCACCGGTGGGCTTCCCCTCTCCCAGAACCCCGTCTCATGTCCACAGCAGATTCCGCTTCCCACACCTACTGTGCCCACCCCGGAGCTGTGGCGCCTTCCTTCCCTTTCCTACCTTCTAGAATTAACGTTGCGTTTTCTTTTCTCCTCTGGTTCTCAAATGACGATTCTCCAGTCGCCCCTCTTCTCTCCAAGCTGCCCAGGGGCACAGGTACTACTAGACACAAACCGTCCCAAAAGAGGAGAAAAAATTGGTCTTCCCCTTCCCCTAGGTCGCCATGTCTGGAGATGCAGGAACCGAGATCTGGACCACTGGGCTTCCACAGCCTCAAGATTTCCCTAAAGAGTTTAGAGTCCAGGATTGGCCGGGTGTGAGTGAACCAGCCAATGGTGTTGAGCCTTATTTCTCAGCAGTTACTAGGTAGAAAAACGGAATCAAAAATTTCAAGCAGCAAATAACCTTTCGAGATTATCGGGCCTTTTTATTTCCTTTTTCTTTGTTCGAAAGCAAGACTCTCTCTCTTTAAGATTCCTTGGGGAGATTCCCTTGGGTTTGTCACCGAGGTCGGTGGCTTTGCTGGTGTCCGCGAGGAGAGGCCTCTCTATGAAGAGGGCAATTTTGCTGGGGAGGAAACATGAGGAGGAAAACATAAGCCACCCTTTTTCCAAAGCCAGAGGACCCTTGTTCAAGTCGCTGGCTTTGGAGGTTGGCCTGGAGCACCGGAGGGCTTGGGGGAAGCAGGCATGGCTGGTGGGGGAGGGGTAGCAAAGGAAAGGAGACAGCAGTTGCAGTGGCTGTTATGAAGGCCTTGTCATTCATTACAAAGCTGTTGGATAAGAGGTGCTGAGAATCCTGAGTGAGGATCAAAAACCCTTTCCTTCAGGGAAGTGGCATTCTGGTGGCGGCAGAAGATGGAATTGACCAAAACTTTCTAGTTGTCCTTCACCTTCTAGATAGTAGGTGGTCAGGTTGGGTCCAAGAGCCACACACAAACACACACACCAGCACACATACCATCCTCCCGTCAACATCATCCCTCTCCCAAAGGCTCCAATTTGTAATTGTAAAGATATCTTCCAGAATAATCTTCCCGAGGCCCAGTTGTCAGTATTCCCCTCAAGTGTCTAAATGCTTAGTCTGGAGGCCTCCAATTCCCTTCTGATTCAATTCAAAACTGTGCAGTTAATACGCTAGCAATGGCTCCACAGTGGCCTTGTATCACAACATTGCACTCCCTGTGGCCAGCACTCCCTTTCCCACGCCATGCCTTTCACTTGAATTGTTTGCTCCATCTCTGACCCTTGAAATCCTGCCCAGGCTTCGTGACTACTTCCTCCAAAAATAACTCTGAATGTTCCTGCCTGAAGTGTTCTCAGCCTCTTCTGACACCTAAGTCTTTTGCTGTTCCCATGTCCTGTCTTGTATTATTGTTACTCAGGTATGAACTGTGTCTTTGCTGTGATGGGAGTACCTGCTTCTCAGGACAGACTTCTGCAGGATGTGATTCCTCTCACCTTACAGGGCCCAGCTCTAAGCTCTAAGCTCTGCTTTCAGCTGTTGTTCAATGCATGTGTGACATGCTCAGTGTAAGGTCATTCCCACCACATTATGGCCCAGTTCCTGGAGTCATTTGGCACCAGAGTGCGCGAGAGAGGTGCTAGTAGGATTAAGCCACTCTAGGTCAGGATTTCTAGGACTGGGAAGGAGGAACCAGTAGGTTCCTTCTGCAGAGAAGGCTCTTTGATGAGAATAAACTAAAGAAAGCTCGGAGAACTATTTTTTCCATTGAACTGACCCTTAAACTTTCTCTTTCTCATACAGTAGTCTCACACATCACCTGATGTTTCTCGATTATCATTCAAATAAGATTCTGGGTTGAGTGGCTCATGAGGGTAAATACATCAGTATTAGAACATTCCAAACAGGACTGGGCAGCCGTTGAGAAGAGGCAGAAGAGAAGGATGCAAGGGTCTAAGAGCATGGTCAGCCAGGATGAGATCTGACTTTATATTTTTTTACCTGAAGAAATAAGGCCCAGGGCTTCGAAGCAGCCCTTTTGCCAGAAGCATCCAGCTAAGCCAGGCCTCAGCCTCTGCCAAAGTTGATCTGAGCCAGAGGGAAACATGTGTGTTCTGAGAAGAAAGAGGATCAGTTGAAGATGGGGTAGCTTAGAAAGAAATCAAGTTCTACTGGGGTGTGCCCGGTTAGATAGTAACAACCTAACCCAACCATGCTCTGTAGTGGGAGGGATAGAGACAGGAAGGGTTACTTCAGCAAGGTTCTTTATGGACCTGCCAACCATGGAAGAACCAGGACACAGGGTGAGCACTGATTCCCTTTTGCTTTGCAATAAACTACCGTCTTTGAAGGTAATATGGGTGTGTCATCTCCAGCTATGGAGTACTCCCAGGGGAGGCCTAGACATCTTGGCACACAGAAAATCCATTCCTACTCTGCCCTGTTCAAATTCTAGATTCCTGACCCACAGAATCACTGAACATATTATAATAGTTGCGTAAGCTTCTGAATATCAGGACTATAGCAATATTAATGAGTACATTTATCTTGCCTCAAAAGAACAATTTTTTTCAAAGAGAAGAAATGATACTGAGTTTCTAAAAGAACCAAACACAAGAAATTTGCCTAAATTCTTTCCATCTTGTAGCCTTCTCTCTGCTCATCGGCTTTGGTGTTCTCTCTGCAATCCACCATTGTTTAGTCCACACCATGAATGGAACAGTTCCTCCCACAGCTCCCATGCACATCTGCTACAGGTGTAACTGGTCACATGTCACTTGGTCCTCTGGCCTAGCCTGGGTCAGGTGTCCATCCCAGACCCAGTCCATGTGGTGAGGCTGCAGTGCCACGTGATATGGACATGTATTGGAAGAAAAGAGGTCACTAATGCTAAATGTGGTACAGGGAGGGTAGAGAGACCTTGAAAGGCGTTCACTATATTCTCAGAGGCAGAGCCCTTAGAACAGGCACTGTTGATGTCCCATCCCATATTCTCTTGGCCTATCACAGTTTGCCAATAGCTAAGGCACAGTTTTCTGCAAGGATGACAACCTCCCCACCTCCAGTGAGTATTTCGCTTCTCCTTTGCCTGTGAGCTTTATCACACCCGTGATAGTTGCTTTTCTGCAGTTACATAGCCCAATCTTAAAGTGCATTAGAATTAACACTCCCAGGCCAACCTTCAACCAATTCAAGCAAAGGAGGATGGGAAGTGGAGATAAAGTCCCAGGTCCCATAGTCCTTAGGAAGATTCTGAGCTGTATCACACATTTCATATGGTTTCTTACAGAGTCCTAAAAGGGATTGAGCCAAGTTATCCACATGGTAACTGACTCATGAGTGAACCCTTTATCCCATTTCTCATGTAAGTGGCTTTCTTTCATTTCTCAAATTGTTTCTGCACTTGTGTTTCCTGGGATCACTTCCCAAATCAGTGTGGTGAGCTGAATAGTGCTCCCCCTACCCACCCTTTGAGCTATATCCACTACGAAAGTTATGAAAAGAATGTATAACACGGTAAAATGAATTTTACACAGAATTAAGGTTATGGACCTTAAAATAGAAAGATTATTCTAAATTGTCTGGGTGATCTCAGTTTAATCATAGGAGTCTTTAAAAGTAAAAGGCAGACTGAGCGCAGTGGCTCATGCCTACAACCCCAGCACTTTGGGAGACCAAGGTGGGTAGATTGCTTGAGCTCAGGAGTTTGAGACCAGCCTGGGCAACTTGGTGAGACCCTGTCTCTACAGGAAAATACTCCGGCATGGTGATGTGGGCCTGTGGTCCCAGCTACTTGGGAAGCTAAGGTGGGTGAATTGCTTGAGCCCAGGGGACAAAGTATGTGGTGAGCCGAGATCACGCCACTGCACTTCAGTCTGGGTGACAAAGCGAGTCCCTGTCAAAGAAGGAAGAAAAAAAAAAAGGAGGAGGTAAAAAGAATCAGAGAGATACAATGGAGAAAAAGATCTGGGAGATGAACCTCAATGCACTGTTACCGCTTTGAAGATGGAGGAAGGGAGCTAGGAGCCAGAGTGTGGCAGCCTCTAGAAATGGGTAAAAACCAGGAAACTGGGACCTCAGTCCTATAGATGAAAGGATCTGATTCGGACAACAGTCTGAATAAGCAAGGAAACAGATTCTTCCTTAGAGACTCCAGAAAGGAATCCACCCTGCAGACACCTTGATTCTAGCCTGGTGAGATCCCTGTGGGACTGACTTCTCACCTACAGAACAGTGAGATAATACATTTGTGTTGCTTTAAGTTTATGAATTTCTGAGGCCAGGCATGGTGGCTCATGCCTGTAATCTCAGCACTGTGGGAGGCCGAGGTGGGTGGATCACGAGGTCAGGAGATTGAGACCATCCTGGACACCATGGGGAAATCCTGTCTGTACTAAAAATACAAAAAATTAGCTGGGTGTGGTTGCACGCACCTGTAGTCCCAGCTACTTGGGAGACTGAGGCAGGAGAATCACTTGAACCTGGGAGGCAGAGGTTGCAGTGAGCTGAGATTGTGCCACTGTACTCCAGCCTGGGAGTAGAACAAAGAGAATACATCCAATAAGGGTTTTGTGAAAATGCTGCAGTGAGGTAAACTGAGACTGTGGTGAGTACAGTGAGTGTGCAGACTACTTTACTTTACTGTGCTGAGTAGACACCACAGTCTAGAAAAAGCCAAGTTGAAGAGTAAGCATTATTAACACTTTATTAAACAGCTAGAACTTGACAACCACTTGCCAAGTAGAGGGGATACAGTGGTGAGCATTAATAGTGATGACAATGAGGAGCAGTTTTCCCTAGCAGGCATCAGTTGAAAGGAATATGGGTTTAACATCCACCAATGATCAGGGGTGGACAGACCTATTTCCAGAAGACTGAGTCCATAGCGGGATTAAAACCATCCCTGTAATTCTTCTAGCTTCCTTCATCCAAATTTCCTATATCACAGAGAGTCTTTAGGGTATTTGTTCTGCCTGGAAACCTTGACTGTAGGAAGGCTGGCTCTGGCTGCGCGATCACTTATCACATTTGTTGGGTGGGCACACATCTCTTTCACGTGATTTATCAAGTGTGGCCTCTAGTCTCTTTCCAAGTCACATGTCATGTGGGTACTATGAGGTTATTCTCTCAACCAAGACACTCTGCAGAGCTAATCTAAGGAGTGTTGTGTCTAAGGCTCTGATAATCAGCTGGGAAGGAGTCAATAGGGGTGTCAACTCCACAACCACTTACAATTATCTCTACCCTGGAGCTGTTCTGGGAAGAAAACTTCAGGGCTACATGGGGGCTCTTCCCAGGGAAAAAAATCGGGCTGGAAAAGAATGGGCAATTAGCCAGG